GTAACCTATTGAGTTAATAGCCAACAAACATTGGCGAATCAAGGGGTCTAGCCGGCCAACGCCGCCTGGTAACTCCTAGGTTAATAGTCACTCAAACTTAGTATGGAGCCTAAAAGGTATGAGTCGTCCACCTGTTTTTAATAAACAAGGGCTCTCAACCAATACTCTTGCTAGGTTAACAAATTACGAGTTAAAAGCCAACATTGGCAATAAAGAAAAACAACCGGCACCCGCCGCTTGTTATCCTACTTAATTCCTTGGCAACTAGGTAATACTATTTACTTGGTCAGACCAATTGAATAAATAGTTCGAATACCGGTTGAATAAATGGACGACTAATCATCTACCCTGGAAACAGACCACCAGTCGTCCAGGGGCATAGGCGGCATACTTACTATTTGTACCTGTCTTAACGTTCGGCCATACACAACAGTCGGTCTAGTGAACAAAGGGATATTAGATATGGAATACTTAGACAAATTTGAACCAAAACAAAAATTTGATTAAAAATAAGCCGGTCATTAAAGACCAGCAGAATATTCAAAACCCCGGCCCCCTGGCCGGGTAATTACAAAGCAAACGGCACGCAGGCCGTGGAAAAAATACTTAAAGCTTAAGAAGGGGGCAGTTCAGTATCAGCAGCTGCCGCCTGGTCAGCACTCTTCTTGCTGGACTCGGCTTTAGCTGCACCCTCTTTTGATGCCTTACCCCCAAGTGGCACAAGCGCCACAACCGGCTCTTCCTCCTCCAACGCACCATCCAACGCCTCTTCTTCAGCAGCCGCCAGGATCTATTGATTATATGTTTCCGAACACTGGCGGTACGTTCTTTCCCATGAGGCAAAGTCGGCACTGGGGAGTCGGCATAAGACTGTTTCATGAGCGAGGCCCGCAACATGGCCGCCGCAGTCTTGGATGCTGTTATTTTACTCATGGCGTCATCTGCAAGAAATAAACAGCAAAGTTAGTAAAAATCCTAAGTAAACAAGGCGTGAAAAAACAGAGTATTTGTCAGGCCGGCTACCTCTAGAGCACCGACTGCTGAGGCCACAGGCGGCCAAAAAGTACTCTTCATAGAGCCACTTGAAGCTCGGGACGCAGTTTAGGGGTACTTGCTCTCGTACCCCTGACGTAGGGTTCACCCTAGTCTCTACTTTGAAGAGTCCTTTGTCTAGGATCTCTCTTTTAGCCTTTGGGGGAACAGGCGACATGCTTCGGCCGCCTGCGAGAAGAGGCGGATCCCTATTCCACTTGTTAAAACGTTGGTTCAGCTCCGTGTCTGAACCCTCAATGATAAGGAAGGTGTTCCGCCAAACCTTCCATTTGTTCGCCTTACCTTTCGTCATGAGGTAACCCCTATGGCTTGTTAATTGATACCAGCCGGTACCTCCCGACTTAGGGGTCCGGCTGAGATAGTTCATGTGGGCGAAAGCCTCAAAGCTTGGCTCCACCCCGTACATTTCGCACCCGGCCACATAGCCGAGTACGTTTACCCAAGAGTTGGGGGCTAACTGCCATAACCCCAAATCATACCCATCTAAAATCCGCTGAACAGCCGGATGTAATGGGAAGCGCAGTCCAGCTTTGATGGCCGCCACATAGCAGCCAAAGCAGCCGTCACCATAGCTGGTACCAGCCGGCCAGACGACAGTGTCTTCTGGATCTGGCACGAACAGTAAAAATTCCGGGCCCATTCTGTGGTTAGCAATAAAGCTCGCCACGTTGTCTTGCATGGTTGCGATCCGGCCCCGGGGTACCATGCAGTAGTAGGGGGCGTTCTCCTCTCTGTAAGAGGCGGACGGCTCCGCCCAATTGTCCCCCTTCTCTACTGCATGAGAAAGTCTCGCCTCTTGTAGGCGGCTATGTCTTTCTTCTGAGCCTGGAGAACTGTGGCCAGAAGAGCTGGACTCGGACTCGTCCTCTGATGAGTCCGAAGAGGACGACTCCTCCCCTCTCCCAGAGGGGCCCGCCTCCTCCCCCTTAGAAGGAGCAGGAGGAAAATTAGACATGTCAACGGTAAGATGGGAAGGGACCACCTTGGCCCCTCTCTCAGAACTGTCGGCTTGGCAGCCGTCTCGTTTCAATTCTACATCTGGCGCCTGGTCAGATGTTTCACTAAGGAGCACCCTTTGGGAGGAGCCGTCTGAGTTTGATATCATAGCAGTCTGTTTCGTTCTGGCCATCACGTTCTGCATAGACACAGATACAGTCGGACTTTGTATAAAGGGCAAAGATGGGTCCAGAAAAGGGCAGGCGGCACTCCTAGTCCTAGATTCAGCCGTCCCCGGTGACCGGCTGATCACTAACTTAGGTCGTGTCGTGTGCTTCCGTGGTGCCATTTCAAAAAATAAAAAGAAAATTAAGAGTAAGAGAACTGAGTTACCTGAACGAGTGACGGTTGATGAAGTTCTGGAAGTCCGGTGCAATCGGCTTGTCAGAACAGGCGGTAGGCAGAAAAGGTCCGAAATGTCAGAGCAAGTTCAGGGGTCCGAATGTTCTCGCAAAGTTCTCAAATGTGAAAATTACCGAAGTCAGCACTTCCTTTTATAGGCAAAGTGAGAAGGCGAAGGGTCGCTTCCAAATTCAAAATTTGGGCGGGAAAATCTCTCGGCCGTTTGCAAGGTGACACCTGTAGCAGGCCGTCGCCTGTCACCGTGCGACACCTGTCACAGGCGACACGTGACCAGTCACGTGCCACCTGTGAGGGGCAAATGATTAGGGGATTTTTATCCACCAATCACCGTCTGACAAGTGGACCAACCAGGTTCCGCCACGTGTCCTTCACGAAGGCCAATAGGAGCCTGCCACGTGTCAGTCACAGATACGTCCTCTACGGACCAATTGAGACACGCCACGTGTCCTCCCATGCCAAATGGGAAAACCGGCCAACAAGGCCCAATCCAGTCTAGAGGCCCGGTCAGCCCTAGGTTTACCTTAAACCTAGAGAGTGGCACGCTTCTCAAGGCTATAAATACTTAATTAATCCTCATTAATTAAGGAGAATAGAAAGCAAGCAGAGAAGAACATAAATATTACGGAACACCAACAACCGGCTAATCTCGCTAACGACGCAGATTACCAACACTAAGCACTCTCACCTAGAGAGATCTTATTACTTTAATTTCCGTATTAATTACTCCTTAATCAGGTACTAACTTGACCGTTGGAGGCGGAGCTCTCAGGAGTCTCCGTTATTTTGCAGGTACAGGCGTCCGGTTCCAGTCTCGGAATTGTAACTCTCCCGCAGGACATCAGAAAACCCCGAAACAATCTTCATTTTTTTTCCACCAGAGTCACACTATTATATATCTCTGACCAACACTCGCATAAAAGATTCTTCTTAGTATTCATTTGTCGACACTCTTCAAGTAGATTATCATCCAGGTTGAAAATAGGGTTTTTCGGTGCATCTTTTGTCCAACGGCCAAGTACATACAAGCTTGGTATTTCCTCTATATCTCTTGCTTTCAAAACACATATTGCATGTCTACATAAGATGCCAAGTCTCTCAAACAACTTACAAGAGCAAGATATAAGATAATTTTATGCGTTGAATAACACAATATAAGTCTTACTTCTAGTAGAATCTTTCACTATAAAATTCTCTCTATCATTTTCCTTTGTTATATCAATTATTCCACAATAGAAACATGATATAGTTATTTCTTTTTGGAATATATAAAAGATTGTATGGGTGTATACCTTAGAGGCATGCCTTTCCAAAGGCAAAGGTGTCTTTAGTTGAGGAAGTGAATGCTTGGAATCAAATTTAGCTTGTCTTGCTTGTGTCTTTGGGAATCTATGGCACTTTCAGGGCGCATGAAGAACTTAACCAATGTGATATGAGGATTTGTTAAGTTACAGAAAAAACTGTGTTCACTTTCAGACCTAGAAGTTGTCCTCATGATTCAACCTAAGAAGAGATCCCTGAAGTATGCTGGTATCCATGATTCCCTAATTGAAAACATGTAATTAAACCATTCATTATGCTCTTGCCATATTTGACTATAATTGCCCGCCACTCATATTCGAATTCTTTGGGTTCATTGTCCAAATTCCACACACAAGCATTGAGTACTTCAAAAAAGTTTTATACTTGGCGAAGCTCTAAGCTGATTTTTTCAGATGAGGAGTGTCATATATCTCGACTATTTTGGGCAAATGCTATTTGTCGAAAGAATTATAGGTTGTTTGGTGATATGGTTTCTTTTGGTGCTACATACGACACTAATATCATAATCAAAGTAAAATCCATCAAACACTTCTCTTTTCAAAAGAAAGTTTTCAGTTAACATCTTCCCACCTTGATCTTTGATGTATTCTTTCATATCCCTGTGAAAATTCTTGAAATCCGGAAATGTAGCACCAACGTTACCATAGCATCCTACTTGTTCTTTATATATCCGAAATGACTTAACTGGACCTACATTTACTCTTGCATTGTTAGCTATGAAGTTTTTATGCAAGATTGTCATTTTTCTTGAACTTTTCAAGTACCGAGAAGATACATGACTAGCAAGAGAATGATTGTGACCTTTATGAAAAGCCAACATTCTATATAATCTATCTTGAGAATAGTATTTCATAATGCACTTTACTTTGCAACCAGTTCTTGTGATCTTTGTGCTATGGCGAGGAGTGTTACTTTTCTTATCTTGACCAACCTGATTATTCTTGTTTCTTACCTCTTTAAAACCTGCCTTATTACAGAGACAGTGCTTTAAAGAGACAATGCCACCCGAGATTGTGGTCGTTGAAGACTTGCGTACAACAAAGTGACATATTTTAGCATAAGCCTTATAGAACTCGATACCATCCTGTAGGGTTTGAAAACTCTTTCCCAAACATGTTTTGCCTTTTCAGGGCAACAAGTAAACCACTCCTTAGTACCACCTAGAGTTAGATGTGTTTCAGGTCTAGGAGAACGTGGTAGTAGTTGTGGTGATGTTACCATTGTGGATCCTTCTGTCATGATATTTAGAGAGACAATCAGGAAAAAATTAGAACACTTTAATTTCCTGCTACTATATTAGATTGATGTATCTATAAGTTTGAGATGAAGTATCTCTATGTAATAGTCGTAAGTAGGGGTGGTTATTGGGAGGGTCGGTGCGGGTCATTAGCGGGGTGGGTCGGTTGTGGGTCATGATGACTATTTAGCGGGTCAGGGTCGGGTCAGGGTCAATGCGGGTCAGGGTCGAGGTAAAAGTAAAACGGGCCATTAACCTTTTGGGCAAAATTACCAAGATTGCTTAAGGAACTTGAATTGTAGTGTAAATTCCAACTCTGACTCAATACTTAATCAAGCAATATTTATGGATGAATTTACATTGAGTTCTTGAGAAAGTTGAACAAATTGAAATGTAAGAAATCACTAAAAGCTGATGAAATCTACAAAATATCTTATTATTGCATTGTTTTTATTTCTACATAAGTCTCTGATTCATAAACATTTGAAACTAGAAAAAACTACTAAATCAATCCTAAAGTGCTGAACTCAACTAACAGATGATATAAAGAGATCTCTTAGCTTTGTCAGATAACAAACTAAAAGCTTCTGTCACAAGTTGAAAAGCACCCTCAGCACCAACAAACTTATTTTTATCTAGGTGAAGTTGAAGTACCAACTTTCTGTAATGCTTTCTCTGTAAACTTCCTGACAGCAAAATCTTTCTCTGTAAACTTCAGGAGAACATTCATATGAATAAAACAGCCAGCAGCCCCCAGTAGAAAAAAAAAAAAAAAAACAGAAGCCAGACATTAGTTGCACCCAGCAAGGACAGAAACAGCCAGCAGAGCGCAAATCACTGCCAAGCAAATCTTTACTACTCTAATGTAATGTGACTAAAAAAACAGAATTATTAGTAGAGAAATGAACAGGAGAATATTACCTAGTAGAAAGGGTCTGCATCATCATTCTCTTCTTCTTCAATGATTTCATCTTCAAGTTCACTATCAACCTCCACTTGATTGCTATCACGATGCCAATCTTGCATACATACTAAAGCTTGAATTGTTTTTGACTTTAATGAACTTCGCGATGCCGAAACAATCTTTCCTCCAATACTAAAAGCAGACTCCGAAGCTACAGTACTTACAGGAATAGTCAACAAATCCCGTGCCATCTTAGATACCACAAGATACCTCACAGAACTTTGATGCCAAAACTCCAAAATATCTAATTGTGAATTGAGATCTAAAGCATCATCATCTAGGTACATCTCAAGTTGTGACTTTCCTACTTGAGATCTTGCACTAGTACCGACAAAATGGTCATAATCATCAAAGTAGTTTCTAGCTCCGGAAGTACTAGGAGGAGAAGGAGCAACTACAATGGGTGAACTACTAGCATATTGCAACTTATAGTCCTCAAACATTGACTTCATAGTTCCCAACACCAAGTTTATTCGTCTTGAGACCTCTACACTTCCATATAACTTACTAAAAAAATATTCCACAAATTTCACTTTGTACCTCGGATCAAGAATGGCGGCACATGACAAGTAAAAATTGTAATCCGACCAATACTTGTCAAATTTTTCAAGCATTGGTTTCACCATTTCCTTTAAATAATCATAAGGACCTTTCTCCGCCTCAAGCAAATGGCGATGCACTATCCATGCACCTTTAAAATACACATTAGAAGTAGGATAATTCACCGCCGAAAACATACAAGTAACCTCATAAAACAACTCCAAAAAATTGTGAATCACGCTTACTTTTTCCCACTCATCCTCTAAAGGAATATATGATTGAAATGAAGCATGACTAGATCACAAGTGAAGATAAACATCTTTGAAGTACAGAGAAGTGCCAAGCATTTTATACGTGGAATTCCAACGAACATGCATATCAAGGTTCAATTTCCTTTTTACATCAAGGTGAAATATCTTCTCCGCACAATCATAGAATTCTTCACTTCTATGAGAAGATTTAATGATCAACCTTATAAATGAACGAATTTTGTCCAAAATTCCACTAACACAAGTCAATCCTTTTTGCACAATAAGATTAATAATATGGGCACAACACCGCACATGAAACAATGTCTCACCACAACTTAACCCTCCTCTAGGAACAAGACGTCTCTTCAAACAAGATATCATTGCATCATTATAAGTTGCATTATCAACGGTGATAGAGAGTATCCTATCATCTAATTTCCATTGGCAAAGAAACATACAAATCTCATTAGCAATACTTACCCCATCATATGGAGGAGCTAAGGCCCTAAACCTAAGAATTTTTTTACGGAGTTTCCAAAAATCATCAACAAAGTGAGAAGTGACACAAATGAAATGTTGTCTAGTATGATTTGATTTCCAATTATCGGTTGTTAAACAAATTCTACCAGAAACATTAGACAAGAAATTTTTCAATTATCCCTCTCCAATACATAAGCCTTCAATAAATCTCTTTGTGATTGCACGGCCAAATGGTTTAAACTTAGGAGTAGCTCTTTTCATCATTCTCCTAAATCCTTGTTCTTCAACCATAGTGAATGAATGATCTCCCTTAACAATGAAATTAAGAATCACTTTTCGAAGTTCATTCATGTCAAAAACAAAATTTTCTTCATCACTATCTTCCTCAAATGTAAGTCCTAGAGGCCTATTTGCACACCTCTCTAAATGACGCTTCAAATGAGATGTACCACTATCACGATGTGCAGATAAAATAGAATTACAATGTACACATTTAGCAATTCTCTCACCTTGAACATTCTTCCCTTCAATAAGCTCTCTCCAAACTTTAGACCTCTTCTTTCTCTTTCGTTGCAGAGTGATGTATTCATTATATCCATCATCACGTGCCGTAGAAGTAGTAGTAGTAGTATCATCATCCATAATAATTGTTTTGCCCTGCCAGCACATTTAGGAGTTCGATCAGGAGAATAGCAAAATCCGAAAACAAAATCTTATATGGTCTGTTCACCACGTTATATCATTTGTCCCTTTGCTAATTTTAGCCTTTTCTATAATAATAATAATGTCAGAAAGAGAGGAAAACATAAAATGTTGTATCGATTGATATGTTGAGTCATTCAAGTTACAAGTACTGTAACTCACCATTGGAGAAGATTGGTTTAAAGAAGAAAGCAGTAATAAAAACAGAAACTCTGTAATGAATTTTTTTGTTGCTTTTACACTTCCAAAATGTGGGTCAGTGAGTATAATAAGGTCCAAATTTGCATGAATCAAACTTAGAACTAAAAAATTAAAATCAATCCAACTTACAATAAATTAAATTTATCCATCTTTATCAAAGTACTACATATATTAGTAGATAATATGGGCTTTGTATGAATATATAGATGGATTAATAGTATACTTTATCAAGCCTTTATTGGTTTGATTTAATTCAAGTATTTTCAAATTTTAGCTAATATAGAAATGAAAACATTCAATGGCACAAGTGCAGAAAATATGTGACATGATTAACACAAAAAATTAAGGGTTATATTCATTCATCCATGAGTTCAGATCAAACACAATTATAATCAAGCAAAAAAACTCCCAAATTATAATTAAAAACACCAAAATAAATCAGCATTAGCAACACCAAGAACAGCAGACTCATAAGTAGCAAAATTACCCACCAATCCTTTTATCACTCTCCAAACTCAAGTAAGAAGCAAAATCACCAAGAAGAAAATCCAATTTGAATTGATTTTCGATCACATCATATAACCTAAACCACATCTTCAATCAGATATTAAAATTGAAGAACAGATTAAGAGAGAGAAAATGATGTTACCTGAGACTCTGAGTGCGCGGCTTCAATGGAGAACTCTGAGTGTTTTAATGGAAAACTCTGAAGTTGCACTTCAATGGAGAACTCTGAGTGCGCTTCAATGGAGGAGAGAGAAAATGGAAGAGAGGATAGTAGCTGACTGCTGACCCTTACAATATTATTGGGCTCTTTAGTTTAATTATTAAATTATTGGGCTATAAAATAAAACCCTATAAAAGCCTTATAAAATATGACCATGTAAAAGCCTTGTCCATTAAAAAAATTAAATAATATTAGGCCCGACCCTTTTGCCATTGGGTAGCCCTACCCAATGACTAGGCCTAGTCGTAAGTATCACTAAACTATCATCTCCAACTAGGTAAACAAAGAGTTTAAATTTACATACTATTTAAAATATCTCAATTTCAAGGTTTATAGCCTCTTCCAATATCTAGCTACTTGCACAATTAAGCAAGGATTAACATAGTAAAAATAATGAGGAACCTCAAATAACACTTTTCATTTCTTGTTAAAATGTTACAATGATGTATCTAAAAGTTTTATATGGTGTATCCCTATGATATTGTCGATGTATCTCTATATGGTAGCTAAAGTATCTATACGGTTTAGTTAATGTATCTCAATGTTGAACAAATCCCAAATTAGTACTACACTGCTGTACCTACTTTGAACACTTAATGTATTTACCAGTTTCAGAAGGTGTATATGTAGGACCAAAATCATGAGCCATAAAACAAAGACTAATAATAATTTTCGGTGATTGCAAATCCTTGCTTTATAAGAGTATCATCTAACAAAATACTTTTATAAAAATTAGAATAAACAACAATTTTCGACATTTCCTATTTCAATAAAGCTAGACTAAAATTCCATATTGATATATTGTCATCTACATCAAAAGCCTAATTCACTGCATTTGAATTCTGATAATCACTTTACCACATAATATATAAATTTAAATTTTCAACATCTAGGTTAAAAATCCAATTACAGCTCATATCAAAAATAATAAATTTGCAGCAATTTGTTAATAGATTTGGTAGAAAAAATTAAGAGATAATTCTTACCCATTGATTTCAGAGCTAATGGTAGATGTTTTCAGAGTTAATGGTTAATGTTGCTTCAGTTAGTCGTTGCTTCAATTTTAAAGAGAAGTTAGGAGAGAGAAGTTCGGGGAAGAAGATGAACGTTGTTATAAGGTATTACGTATTATGTTGGATGTTAAGAGGTACTAGATTTTAACCTTTGGATGTATCTAAATCCAAGGGATGGGAAAGCTTCTCACCTTCTCACTCTAATTGTACTTCTCACCAGATACCAACCCAAATTTGAGATTATGTGAGAACCAAGGTGAATAATGAGAACTAGAAATTTTTCTCAACCATTAATCGCGCATTATCTAACGGCTGTCAATTCACCCGCTTCATTAAGGGTAAAATGGCAATATTTGCAAATCGAATGACTATCTAATTTTTGCAGTCGCTTCTTTTTCGTTTTCTGTCTCTTGTTCAGACTTTCTCTCTCTTCCTTTGAATGCTCTCTAAAGCGGTTTCATTTCTTTGGTTTCGCATATCGAATTCTTCAAATTGGTTTATTTAAGTTCTTTGATTTGCTGTTTCTGGTTGTTTCTGGAGAGGTAAGTGTTTTAATTTCGTATATTTTTGTTGTTTTTTAAATTCAATTAACGTCTTTTTTTAAAATCAAGGTTAAACGATTTCGATTGCAAAAATTAGGGTTTTCACTACTATTTGTTTCACTTTTTGTGATTTCGATTGATGTATAAAACTTTTACAATCATATGTTAGCGTATTGTGGTTTCATTTAATTAGCTGCAATTATGGTTTTGTGGTTGAATTATTGATATATATTCTTATATTTGGTATTATTAAATTGTTGCTTGCCTGATAAAATTTTGGTTTTTTTTGTTAGATTGTATGGTAAATTACTTTTAATTACATTTTTATTTTTATATTATGTGGATAATATTTACACTGTTATTGATTCGTTGCATTAGATTGTTATTGTAAAGAATAAGTTCCCTCTGCCTATGGTGCATAAAGAGCCCTTATTTCTATTTTAACGGATTTTGACATGATATTGGTGTGTGCAGATTGTTAAAACAGTAAGTGAAACTTTTCATAGTCATTTGGGGTATCAACCTGATCTTTGTAGGAATGTAGGGCCAATAATTAACTTAGTTAATAGCCAAGACACTGTTTTAGCTTGTTCTAACTAGTTTTATGTTCCTGAGAACTAATAAATAATAATAAGTTTAATGGTAAATGTTGTTGGTGCTGTGTTTGTTGCTGTAGATTATTTTTTTGTTTTTTTTTTGTACTCATTTGTTGGTGTAGATAGCAGAAGGTTTTGTGGACTATTTTGCGTTGTTGTTGTGGTGTGGTGTCGGTTAGCGTTAGGTTTGGGGTGTTGGATAAGCTGGCAGTAAGGTTGATGACAGGAGACTGTGAAGTTTGTATCACAAAATCTGTAAATATGAAGCCTTTTTGTTAATCTAGTATGCTGAATATTTATTTCACCAGCAATTATATATTATAGATATTCTAAATAGATAAGTATTAGATAGGTTTTCTATCACAAAATCATGTGGATAGTCTTCAAAGTTATATGTGAACATTATCTATATATACAATGGGATGTTAACAATAAGTAGTCCATTCTAGGGGTGTATGTGTGACTGATGCATTCCTTGTGGAAACAGCTCACCTCTTTTAATTTTTTCGTATTCCTTGTTGCTGTCATCATAATTTCTTCTATGTATAAGATCAGAATGAAGCTTATTGCATTCTTTAGTCAACCATTATAGGTAAATGGTAATGTAATTGTTTTGGGGTTAGGAACCTTAATTAAGGACTCTGTGCATATATGAACTCTCTCTATATATGAACTCTATAAGTTTTCTTAGTTTTAAGCAACTTACCTCGTTGGATTCATAGTAGAGTATGCCTACCTGTTTTTTTGGATGTTGGATGCCCTTGCAGCATTATGGAAGGAGAAAGCTCTGTTAACAAGTACACCCCTAAGCTTCCGGTACGGATAAAAGCATAGCAAAGGATATTTCGTTCATAACTTAATGTAAACATTTTCAAATTAAAAGTGAATAAAACAATAACAAAAGTAAATGGAAAAGAAAGTCAAAAATTTTCAAGTATATATGAAATAATTGAAAATGATAAATGAGCATAGTACTCGAGTCATTTACTTTTATATCGCTCTAAAAATGAAAAGTAATCAACTAAGAAAGAAGTAGTACTATGTATATGAATTGAGGTTAAAGTATAGGTTTTTAAATTAAAAGTAAATAAAAAAGAACCTAAAGTGAATAAAAAAGATTTTAAAGTAAACCTATTAGCTCAAGTGGTAGAGCACTATGCGGTTGCATAGAGGTGTAAGTTCAACATGGGTTATTATTATTATTATTATTATTTTTTTGAAGAAACCCACCAAAGGGGAATTATATTAATAGCTTATTAGCAGCAATGTTTAAGATATGAGTCGGGATTAGGTTATTTCTAAAAGTAAATGTAAAACACTCTAAAGTAATTCAAAATATCTCAAAAAGTTGATCAAATAACTAAAAAGTTAATCAAATTAGCTCTAAAGTATCCAATTAATTGGCTTTTAATGATTAGTGAGTATGGAAACTTTATTATACCACACTAACTTGGAGTCATTGACTTTAATATCCTTACTAGAGCAGTCAATTTATAAGAAAGAAGTATATGTAGCTCAACGTAAAATACTCTAAAGTTATTCAAATTATATTAAAATTAAATCAAACAACTAAAAAGTAAAACAATTTAGCTCTAAAGTATATGAATATCTTAATACATTATGTTGGTTTCTCAAGGTGTATACAGATGCGGGGATCATGGAAGTGGCCCAAGGGGTTTGGATTGTGATTGAATTTCATATCCTTACAAGATGAGCCAAGTTATATGAAAGAGGTATATAGAGATAAATATAAATGCTTTCAAATTAAAAGTAAGTAAATACCAAAAGTAAATTAAAAATTCCAAGAATATATGTATAATGAAATCATTTAATGGGAATCATTAAAAAAAAAAAGTCGTTATTATTGATCCGGTGTGTGTTGCTGTTATGTGTTTCTACTGCTAGCCATGCCTGGAGCTGGAGCAGCTGCTGCAAGAGAGGGGGCAGGGAGACGTGTTCTTGTTGCTGCTCATTCCAATGCTACCATTGCATTTGACCATGTGGTGCCTTGTGATCATCGTGTCATCATAAGGCAGGTCCCAGACTGCTACTGCCACTTCTGCAGCAACTGCGGATGGTTTTGTTGCTGTTTCCTCCTTTGCTCCCGCCATTGCTTCCACTTATTCCAGTTCCTGCAGAAAAGTAGAGTGCAAGCAATCGTTCAAAAGTAAATCAAATTGACTAAAATGTATATCAAATCAACTAAAAAGTAAAACAAATTAACTCTAAAGTATACAAACAATAAATTAGCTTGAAATGATTAATGAACCTTCAATACAAAGCCTAGTCTTTGAATTACACATATAAACCTACGTGGGATTCGAACCCACATCTTTTGTGCAATTGCACAATGCTCTACCATGTTGAGCTAGTAGGCTAATGAAAAGTAATAAAAAAAAATTACTCAAAAGGAAATAAAAAAAATTTAGCTAGTATATCAAACATTTGTAATAGATTAATATTACTTAAAAGTAAATCAATAGATATTTAAAGTAAATAAACCAATCTATAAAGTATAAGACATGGCTGTTAATGCAGTCATCTAAAACTCCCCCAATTTTAATTTGCTTAGATAGTTTGATGATCATGGTATGTATTCTGTAAGTAAGTAGCTCTTGATGGACATTTCACGCATAAGAGTAGTTGCTTTTTGGATTTCTGATACACAAAGTCCAGCAAATGTTTTATTTGTCTTAAGAGGGGTAGACAAACTAATCATACAATCACTTAACAATTGCATAAAATTTCACACTCATAACCCATAGATCCTAATTTCAGGCCAATGAGATAACCCGGACCAGGAGGATAATGAATAACAGCTTTGCAAAAGCAGCAGCCTCAAATATTAGCTTGATCTGAAAGATAATGATAGTACGAAAACAATATAAAATAAGTTCCTTGGACATAAAGGAGCATATTCGAGAGAATGATTTTCATTATAATATAGTCCAACGAATGACCAACAAAAAATTACTCAGTAAGAACTAAGAAGTGATAGAAAAACTAAGAAGCAACATCAGACAAAGAAAAATCATACTTTTCAACTTCCAATTACATAGCCGTATACTCCATATATACCTGGTAAGTAATTAGATGGCCCTAAGAATTTGCATAACTTAACAAGGATCAATTTGCCATAATGAATCACTTCAGCAAAACAAAAGTCTTCACTTCAACACCAAGCCCATATGCAGGATAAAGCCTATACTACAAGCTACTTCTCCTAGGCCACCAATCTTCTTGAGCTTTTTGACATTCGTTTGCAGAAAACTTTCAGCAATTGAAATCGAAATAATCAAACAAAAAAACTATAATTTCAACAATCAAAATTGCAAATATGCAAACATTGCATTGCAAAATCCCTATATTATCAATTATAAAACCAAACAATTATGAAAACCCTGATTTCCAATCGAATCGCAAAAAATGCCTTGATTAAAAATAAAATTAAATTTAAGATAACAATAATTATAATCTAATTTCCCCATTATAATATCATAAAAACGTAAGTTAAAAAATTCGATTATTGTCAGTGGTAACAAATCCAAAAATATTCACATAAAAAACCCTAATTCGAAACAAAACTCATAAAATACATCAAATTCAAACAAAAACTAAATCAAAAAAACTCTAATTCGAAGAAATCAAACAAATAGCTTACTTTGCGATGAATATCCGAGATTAACAACTGGAGAAACTGCGCACCGTCAAAGAAGAAATCGCAGAGGAATGGAGAAGAAATATCACAGAGGGGATGAGAGAGAAGCGCAGGATAAGAGAGAGAAAGTAAAAAGAAGAAATAGAAAAAAACGCAAAACAGATCGCAAGAAATGAAAATTTACAGAAATGCCCTTAATGAAACAAGCGAACTCTCATCCATTAGATTAAACAGAATCGACGGCCGAGATGAGTTCCTAGTTCTCTTTATTCATCTTGGATCTCAATTATATATATATATATATATACACACACATATGGGATAATGTGAGAACACATCCCTTATATGAGAACACTCTAATATATAAGAACAAATCTACACCGTTGGTTTGCTTAGATCTAACCGTCCATTAATAATGGCATATATGTAAATTTCATAGCTTACATTTTAAAATTTCAGCTACTTATTTCTTTCTCTCTCTCCCTCTTCCCCCCCCCCCCTCTCTCAACCCAGTGTATTTGGGTGGAAATTCATCAAAATATGGTAAGTTTATCAATTTTATCATCAAATTCTTCTATGTTAATAGATTTTTTCAAAGTATAATGTTCAATTTGTTTAATTTTTTTTTCATTTTTTATAGCTTAATTTTTTTTTTCAAATTGTGTTCGATTTTCTTGGATTAATTTTTTCAATTTGTGTTCGGTTTTTTGGCTTAATTTGTTCAATTTGTGTTCGATTTTTTCGGTATAGCTTATCACTTTGTGTTCGATTTTTTCAATTTCAGCATCCAATTTTATGAATTTTGTGTGTGTCGATAATTTTGATGATATTTTTTCTGATTTTATGTTTTTGTGGACATTTAAATCCGTTTTTGCTCAATTATTTCATGTAATTGTGTTTATTTTTGGACATGTAATGTTTTGATGTTTGCTAGCTACTTGTTAAATAATGCAGTGTAAATGTTTTGTGTTTTAAGGTAGTAATAATTGATTTGTAATTAAGGGAATGTAATGTGCACACCAAGTGTTTGATAAAAGTCTCTGATATGATACATATGTTTGAGTTCTAATTAATTGAATACATATCAATTAGCACTTTTAAGGTTGGATCTTAGAGCTGGAGATGGTGCACACTGATATTGACTGGTAGAGCGTGTTATGTAATCTGCTTTGGGATATATGGTTATGAAGAAATGCTTGGGTTTTTGAAGGGAAGATGGTTGATCTAGCTGGGATTCAACAAAAAGCTATGAGCATAATTGGAGAGTATAAGAAAGCCAATGAAGCTACATCAATTATTAATCTGGGTGCTGCTAGTGTTGTGGCCTGAGTTGGGTTGGTATAAGGTAAACTTTGTATTAGTTGAGAATTGTTTACTCATTTGATAAATGAACAAAGAATTGTTGCTCATTTGATAAATGAGCAAAAAATTGTTTGCTCGCTTGATAAATGAATAAAGAAATGTTTGCTCATTTGATAAATGAACAAAGAAATGTTTGTTCATTCGACAAATGAGTAAAGAATTGTTTGCTCATTTGATAATCCTATAAAACAAATGAGTAAAAATTTAAGTAGGATAGTAATAAGAAGTTGATCTGTGGTTTATGAATCAAAGCTTGAGGACTGGTTGAAGGATTATATTTATGAGACTGTTGTGGATTATAATAATAATGCATAAAAATAGTTGGTTTCTTCCATTCCTATAAAACAAAATGATCAATATATAAGAGAAGAAAAAGGGAAATTGATCTTTCATTTGTATGAGTGCTGCAGACACAAAACATGTAACATCTTCATAAATGAATAAAGAAATATTTTCTCATTTGTCAAGTGAGCAAATAATTGATTGCTCATTTCACAAATAAGCAAAAAATACTTGTTGATTTAATGAATAATTAAAGAAATGTTTGCTCATTTGACAAATGAGCAACTAACTTGTTCATTTGACAAATGAGCAACTAAGTATTTGCTCATTTGACAAATGAGCAACTAACTATTTGCTTATTTGCTAAATGAGTAAAAAATTGATCGCTCATTTCCTAAATGATCAAAAAATTGATTGCTCATTTCCCATATGTTCATTTTTTCTTCATTGATATTTACAAAAAATTACAGGTTATAAAATTGCAAAACAATTATTTGCTCATTTATCAAATGAGCATATAATTCTTGCTCATTTTGTCAAACATTAATATTTATTCTTTACTAATTTGTCAAAATGAGCAATTAATTTTTTACTCATTTGTCAAATGAGCAAACTATTTAATGTTCATTTGTCAAATGAGCAAACGATTCTTGCTCATTTTGTCAAATTAATGCTCATTAGTGAGTATGTTTGAATGTTTTAAATACGTTAGCCTACTAGCTCAAGGGTACAGCATTGTGCAAATGCACAAAAGATGTGGGTTCGAATCCTATGTAGGTTCATTTATGTAATGTGGAGACACAAGTTTGTATGAGAGTTTAACTGTAACAAAGTTTATATAGTTATAAATCATTTCAAACAATTTTTTTGCTCATATAATTTAATTAGTACGAATTTGATTATTTTTTTTTAAATTAATTTTGTTTATAGAGATAACCTATACAGAAATTGAACCTACATTTCCTATGCATTTGCATAATGTTCTAGCAATTGAGCTAATAGGTTTATCAAATGTTTTAAATCATTTTCTATGTTATCAAATGTTTTAAATTTTGAGTGTGCTAATAGGAATTCCTCAAGCTTTCTTTTGTTGTGGTTGCAAGATAATAGATCAAAGTTTGAAGGAAAAAGAATTTAAGAACTCAGAAGTAAGAAACATTGTTCCAGCAAAATTCATAGGCACTTATACCAACCTTGGTAAAGAACTATAAACTACACCAACTGAGGACTCTTTGTTATTGCATTCATCTTCAGTTGTTTTAGAACTTATTAATGGTGATAAGCCCGCATTGAAGATAATTTTGAAATAAGACTAGTGTAAAACAACAATAAGAATCATATTATTGAATTTCGTGGGTCAACAGCAAAACGAGAGATTATGCTACAAAATAGCAAAGATTTCATATAATCCAAAAAACATTAATAAAGAAAATTGGTCAAAACAAATTGCCAAGAATGAACCTCAGATTAACACAAGCTTACTTTGATTTAATGTGCTGAAAACAGGAAGCAATACAATAAGAATAAATTATTACCAAAAATGATCTTTTTTCTAAGCACAACAAATTGGGAAAGATAGCAAAAAGAGCATAGACCTAACATTCACATGAGAAACTATGCATATCATATCAGCTTCCCAATTAATGTCTCAGCAACACCCAGAATCATTTACACTTAAGAATCATGCATATATTAATAGCAAAACAAAGTGAGATTATCCAGGAGACAAGCAGACCTTGCTGTATCATAACATTTTCAATAGGTCCAATTGTTTCAAGCTATAATACTGGATGGTCTGGATGTACTTACCATTGATTTTGTCAGTTCCAAGTTCTTCATTCGCACCAACTAAGGAGCCAATTCCACCATTATTGTTAGATTGAATAACATTCACCTTTGAAAAGTGACCAACTGAAATGTTTCAACCACTTTAGAGCTATTTATAGGTGGCTGCAAAGTTACATCTTTGTTGATGCCTTTGGCCATATTTTGAGTGCCCTGAATTTCTTCCTTTGCCTATCCTAAATCGTCAATGCTAAAGATGCAATTTTCAACATTATTGGCAGTTGTTTGAGATAAATCAGCATTATTTTTTATATTAGAAATAGAATCCAAACTTTTCATATCATCTGATTCACTTGAGGTACATCGTCGTAGGACCTCCTCCGAGTCCTCCCCCAACCATGCTTTGTGGATCAACTCTTTTCTCAGAATGTAGCTATATTTTGGAGCTTTAGTGAAAGCAGTAATTACTTAAACTGAGCTGCACATACGTCACTTCTATGAGTTCTTTCAATTAGCATTTAAAGCCCATGGATTATCAATTGACAATGATAAGAAAAAAATCAATCATTCATCAGGACCAATGTAAAATATGAACTACTCCCTTTGCCCCAAAAAGAGAAACACTTAGTTTTTTCACATCTCAAAATGCTTAGTTTAAAACTCTACCAGACTACACAATTATTTAAGTGCTACTTTAATTAATCAACAAACCTATGGATGCTCTGAAATTTTTTTACATCAACAATATAGCTTCTTGTCAATCAAGTGCAAAGAATGAATACAAAATTATACTTAATCAAAATTAAAAAATGTGAAACCCAAATTTTTGTAATTAAAATCGCATAATCTTGATTTAAAATTCGAATTAAATCATAGACAACAATGAAAATCAAAATCAAATTAACTTACAGTGCCTTAAGTATACAAGAATAGCAAAGGATGATGAAAGTTTTGTGATGTTTCGAAATTTTCCTAATCGAAAATCGCATAACCAGATTTTGGCAAAAAAAAAAACCTAATTTTCGAAATCAAAATCGCAAAACATGTTTCAAAATCAATCAAATTCAAAATTAAACTGAAATTTACATACTGTAACAGATTATCGCGAGAAATTGATTAGCAAAAGCAAAGAAATTGAAGAGAAAAAAAATGGAAGAGCGTATTCAGATAACCTGGAGGAAGAGAGAGAAAATCTAAAGAGGAGAGAGAAAATCTCAGTTGTTGGCTTTGATCTAATCTAGCGGCTGAGATTTGTCCTCACATAAGGTGTGAGTTCTCATCAGGATCCCGACCATATGTATGTATGTATATATGTATGTATATATATATATATGTATGTATGTATGTATATATATATATGTATGTATATATATGTATGTATATATATATATGTATGTATATATATATATATATATATATGTATGTATGTATATATATGTGTGTATATATATATGTGTGTATATATACATATATATATGTACATACATATATACATATATATACATACATATATGTATATATATACATTTATGTATATATATATACATATATATACACATATACATACACACACACACACATATATAATCATGTGAGAACCAAGGTGAATAATGAGAACTAGGAATCAATCTCATCCTTTAATCACGCTCCATCTAACAACCCACGCTTCACCCGCATTCATTAATTTCATTTTCGTAATTTCTAATCATGTGAGAGCCAAGGTGAATAATGAGAACTGGGAATCAATCTCATCCTTTAATCACGCTCCATCTAACGGCTCACGCTTCACCCGCATTCATTAATTGCATTTTCGTAATTTCGCAGTTGTTAAAACGTTTTTCCAGTTTTTTAACTTTTAAGGCAATTTCATTTATTTTATGACTGATTTTATTTACTTTTACTAACTTTTCATTTACTTTTAGAAATGAAACTGGAAATCACTTTATAAAGTTGAAATGTTGCGAAAATGCCATTAATGACACGGGAAGCATGTGGATCGTCCGATTAATATGATCTAAGGGCCTAGATTAGTTGCTAATTCTTATTTTAGCCTTGGTTCTTTTTATAACTTGGTTCTCATTATAACTTGGTTCTATTAAAAAAATAATAATAGTTTTTTTTTTAAAAATGGCACTAGGAAGTGACACATGTCATTTTAGTGTCTATGCTGGTATTACGTTATAGATGGAATAGTACAGATATAAAATAATATTTTATACAATACAAGATATGAAAAGTATGTGAATAAAAAATATATACTCCCTTCGTCTCACTTTGTTAGTCCCCTTTGAAATCAATCACTCCAAATAAGAAAAGGAGGCATCCTAATACTTTGGAATTTAATTGAAGATTTGTAATTAATGTTTTGTCTTTTCCTATTTTATTTGATTTATTTATGAAAATTGGTTTCAATTAAATCACCTATAATAAATCTTGAGTGGAAGAATTTGTGCTTAGTTTTTCTTGTTTCTTAGGCTGTAATAAATCTCCATTGGAGTTCACAGGCTAAGATTTATTCTTAACTAGTTTTTCTTGTTTCTTTAAGTTTTCTAGTACTCTTATTTTTTAAGAAGAATATAAATGTTCATACTAGTTTTCAATTATTTATAATGTTATTCTTTCATCATCCCCTCTTTCCCATAATCTTGTTGCCTTATTGTAGGTTCCATGGCATTCCCGAGTGTACTTAGAGGCTTCCCTTGGCCGAGCTTTGAAGTGTAGAAGAAGGCATAAAGGTTAAGGAGGAGAAGAATAAAGAAGGAGCTTTCAAGCAAGGAGTTCGCTCGAACTAGCATGAAGTTTGCCCGAATCTAGAGGTTCGAACCCCTTAGAAGTTTGGTCGAGCTTTCACACAAGCTACTTTGATGATTTTTGGATTTTGGAGGTTCGGCTAAACTATTAAAAGGTTCGTCAGAACCTAGCACAGGGAGGTTCGCCTGAACCTACCCTCAGTTCGGTCGAACCTAACCTCTGTTCAGCCGAACCATTGCTCGATTATAACCTAGTTTTGTACGGGCTATATAAGCCTTTAGTTAAGACGTTTTCAAGATAACTTAGCTTAGCCTAATCTTAGGGTTCTTAGCTTAATTCTAGAGAGAGAAACACTTAGTTTTATGATTTTGGATGATTTGTACTCAATATTTTGAAGATTAATGAAGCTCCATTAGTAATTTTTTCCCTTAACTCTTTATTTGCTTGCTTTATGTTCTTTATTTTCTTATTAATCATGTTATGCATTGTTGATTGTATGACAAGCTTTGTTTTCAATATGATTAGTGAGTAATTCTTCAACTAAGGGGATGGTGATAGCTTGGCTTGATCTTGAGCATGTTAGGGGATTGGATTAAGGGTTGTTTAGTGATTAAAATCTTTATCTTTCATGATTTTTCAACTATTTCTCTTGAGTGGACAATCACTGGTTGTAGTTGGGTGAGTTGAAATTGATTATAACGATAGTGTGATTAAGTAATGCTCATTGGATGGTTAGTTCTCATTTACCTCATTTCATGCTTGATTACGACGATAGTGTAATAGTGTATGTTTGAGAAAGCAATTGCTCCCGATGATAGGAGAGTAGATTACTCTTTTAATCATCAATCATAAATAGCTTAGTTTGCTTGCTTCTTGTGTCCTATCCTTTGATATTGCTTGAGTGATGATGTTGCTTGATCCATTTCATTAGTGTTTTTCCTATTAGATTTTCTTTCTAGATTAATCATAGTTTACCTAGTGTTAGATCCTTTACTCAACTTTTCGAGCTAGCTTAGATGTTGAAGGCTTGAACAATGAAACTCACATCGGGTTACAAAAACTACCTTTAAGGCTTCAAATTCCCTAATGAGAGCAACACCATCTTACTACAAACAATTGAAATTAGGATCGGTAGGCCTTACGATTCTAGCATAACTACCTTAGCATAGGCGTATCCTAAACCAATGGAAATCCCAAAGGATACAAACTCGTAATACTTAACAAGAAAGACAATCAAACACAACAATCCACCTTTTTTTAATGCTGAATTTGCAAATGAAGCAAATAGAATTCACGTGGTTTGTCTTAAAAAAAAAGAAATTTTTTTTCTGTTTTTTTTTTTAAGAAAAGCAAAGCCCAACATTCGCGGAAACATGCAAAGCAATTAAATCCCAATCATCAAACAAAGATCATTCGGCCACAATGCCACTGACCAGATTCCGTAGAATCAATGCATACAACCTCGAACCATTCAAAATTGTTCTAACTACAACCTAATCTAAACACACAAAAAGAAAATTAAGAAAGAAAAGGCTAAACAAGAACGATCTCACTAAGTAGGAGGAAAACTAGGAACCATGAACGTAACAAAAGTATTACACCTTGTTGAGTCGCTCCAAGCTTCCAGTAGTATGCTACAAAGTAAGATTAGAAAACACAAAGAAATATTCTATAAGAAAAACTTAGTGAACCAAAACAAAGAACTAAAACTATGTACAAAAAGAAAAAGAACTAACATAAAGCTATCTATAAATTTGGATTAAGGGAATTTTGATTAAATGGGTTTGATTATCAGGAATTAAATTTCCATGTCAAGAGAGAAGAGGGGAAAAACATCACATCCATTGTCATAGCATCATTATCTTCATGATAATACAAGAACCAATTAACAAACATTCACCAACTACATCAAAACAATCATCCTAAGCCAACATCCTCATGTGCAAGAAACTATCCTACCACACCACATTTCCTATAAACATTTCAATTAGTCTTGAATATCCTCCCCCACACTAGTCTTTTGCTCATCTCGAGCAAAAGGAAAGACATGGAAAACCGGGAGGAGGGAGAGAAGAACCCTCATTGCCTATTTCTATCCTCTTTACCCTTGTTTGAGTTATCAAAATCAAACACAGGGATGTCCATGAAAGGATGAAATGGCGTGTTGAAATGATCATAGGGCCACCCTTGCTCGCTGATTAGGGATTTTCCCCCGCCACATGGACCAATCAGAGGTCGCCACGTGGATCAATCATAGGCTGCCACGTGGACCAATCAGAGGCCGCCTCGTGTCACCTTGTGAGAGGTCCAAGGTGGACCAACCAGGTCACGACACGTGGCAGGCGGAATTTTCAACTGAGCAAGTGGCCTTCTACGGCCCAAAGTTCCAGACAAAGCCCAATCGGCCCTAGGTTTACTAAAACTTAGTATTAGCCACGTTTTCCAACACCCTATAAATAGGAGATGTTTCCCTCCGAGGAACATCTATTCAAAAATATTCAACACACATTAACTCTCCATCAGAAAAGTCAGACACCTGACACCCCAAACCGAGCAATTATACATTGCCGATCCTCTCTTGGAATCCGAGAGAGACCCTTTACTTTCCACACTTTACTCCTCATACACGTTCTAACTTGATCGTTGGAGGCGGAGCTCCCACCCCCCGGAGTCTCCGTTGTTTTGCAGGTACAAGTGTCCAGAGGTCAGTCTTGGAATTGTAACTCTCCCGAAGGACATCAAAAAACCCCGAAACATTTAGCGCCGTCTGTGGGGAGAGTACTTCAAAGACGACTTCACAAGAACCTGTACCACCTCTTAATGAGAAGCGGCCTATGGTCGACGTCCAGGTCTTCTCAGACCAAGATACATATGATGAATATGAAGTCGCCACTCATACGGCCCCTGACGGGTCCCTCAGGACACGGCGCATCTGTCCCACCGAAAGGAGGGAACAGAACACTGACCAAGCAGGCCCCAGTGAAACAGTCGGCTAGCCATCAAGTTAGCCTCAGGCGGCCGAAGGATCCACCCCCATCACAAGAAATGAGCACATGACAAGTTTCAAAGGGGAGATAAAGGACCTTATTGATAGACGGACGACTGTCCCTACCAAGTAAAAGTCGGCCAAGAAACCCTCTTGTTCTGGGAGGAAGAAGCCGGTCAAAGAGCGAGAGGCCACTCCTTACCCTAAACCAAGGGAGGGACAGAAGCCTTTGATAAACCTGGCTGGACTACGGTTCCCTGAGCCAGGGTAGAGGAAGGCCATCCGGCATATACAGCCGGATGGTTCCAAGAAAACATATTCCGATGCTCGGATGATAATCCAGCAAAAGAAGGATATGCAACTGTCAGAGTTGGCTTCCACGTCGAACTTCAATGACAGTTTTCAGAATGCCTCGCTGAGGTATTCTCAGTCAAACCAAGAAGACCAGACAGGTGGCCTGTCCTCCCATTCCAGTCCTCAGATGTTCCAGGCGGCTCCATATGTGCCTTAACAGCTATACATGCCGTATGGACCACACTACATGCAACCTACCCTCTTCGAGGGGCAGGCAGCACCCAATATCCAGCCTTTGGATAGGCAGCTCCGACTGCTCAAAATTGGGGAACAACCTTCAGCTTTCTCCAAGGAAATAACTAAGGTCGCACAACCGGCTAAGGTGAAGAATGTGTTGGTAGGCACTTATGATGGTACCTCCAACGCAGAAGACCACCTGATGGCATATACCAACCTTATGTATCTACAAGGGTTGGATGATGCTACTTGGTGTAGATGTTTCCCGGCCACATTGAAGGGCGTCGCCCAGCAATGGTTCGGCAACCTGCCAGCCGGGTGCATCAATAACTTTAAGACGCTGACATATTTATTCGCGTCAAACTTCTCAATGAATATCCCTGCAAAGAAGACAAGTCTTGACTTGGGTGCCATACAACAGGGAGAGAAGGAGGGGTTGCGCACATATATCAGGCGCTTCAATTTGATGAAAATTCAGATTCAAGGGCTGTCTGATGAGGTAGCCTACACAGACTTTTTCAAAGGTCAGAAGGACGGGTCGACCTTCAAGTTTGACCTTGTCAGAAAGAGGGTGGCTACCCTCCAAGAGGAACTGATGAAGACGCCTATATATAGGTGACCAAGCTCTGCAACATCAGTAAGCAGTCGGACTCAAAGAGGTCCAATAAAAAAGAGAGTCGGCCATCAAAGCCGGCTAAGAAAGAAGAAAAGAAAAGGAAACAAGTCTGGGTGGCTGAATCCCCTGACTAGCCGTCCCAGAAGAAAAAGAGAGAAGCGAAGACGTACTCCCAAAAGTACGAATTCAACAAGGACTGCTACTCCATCCTCATGGAGATTAAGGATCGGGTCTCTATTGACAAGCCGGCTCCTATGAAGGATTCTGCCAAGAATCGGAACAAAAACAAATACTGCCATTACCATGAGGATATTGGCCATGACACCGACGAATGCTATAGCTTGAAGCGGTTGTTGGACCGTCTGGCTGATAAAGGAGTCCTCAAGTCTTACATCTTGAGGTCCAAGGTTACCTTGCAGACTAACCCTGGACAGTCGTCCAAGAAGAAGCCCCACTCTGCTAATAGCTCGGATACGGATGAAACTCCGATCTATACAATAGCAGGCGGCTTCGCTGGAGGCGGCCCCACCATCCGGGGCAATAAAGACTATGTCAGGCGCCTCGATATTAACTCAGTCGCGGAGGGACAGACGTCCAAGGAATACTTCCCCGAAGTCATTATCACTAAGGAGGACAAGGGCAAGATCCGGCTATCACACGATGATCCTATTGTCATCGAATGTAAAGTAGCCAACCAAAGAGTTGGCCTGATCCTCATGGACACTGGGAGTTCGTCTGATCTCATCAGTCACAAGTGCCTTGCCAAGCTCAGGTACAAGCTCCAGAGTATGCACCTGGTCTTTCATCCCTTAGTAGGATTTGGGGGTGGTGTGGTACATCCAGACCTACCCATTCGTCTAGGCGAGTGGGGGGACGGACGCCACATGGTGGTCCGGTTTTTAGTTGTTGAAGAACTGACGGCCTACAACATGATTTTGGGGCGCCCTACCCTGAATGAATCCAAAGCTGTTATCATCCCTTCTCTTATGCTTCTCAAGTTTGAGAGGGATGGTGGAACAGTCGGCTCCCTACGAGGAGACCAGAAGATGGCCAGGGAGTGTTACCTCTCTGATGTCAAGTCCACTATGGTCGCAGCCGGCCCCAGTGGAGAAACAACTGATCTTGACCAAGTCAAAGACGCCGCGACTGCTACAACAGCAGCCAGCAAGAAGAGAAAGGCCAACCAAATGATGGCCGAGAAAAAAGACAGACAATAGCAATCACTGACCGGTCAGAGGCCGGATGAACTCCGTCCCCAGCCGGCTGGTGAACACATGGACATCGTCTTAGATGACTCTCGTCCCGATCAGACTGTTAAGGTCGGGACGACTGCTTT